GTTTTTCTCTCAATATACTTTGAGCAGTGAGAACCGATTATTATTATCTCCAGTGTCAAGTCCTGTATAGTGGCGAACTAGGGGATATTTCAATAAAACTTAGCAAATAGAAGTAATTCCACGTACTTTTGAGGTCGGTTTTTTTAATACTCTGTACTGAGATTATTTTGTTTCAATTGCGTGCCGTAATGTTATACAATGCGGCAGGTAACTTAAAATAAGATCATTGCGGGCCTTGTAAGGTCACAGCAAAAAACAAAAAGTCAATAATTTATACAAATTCTTTGTCTATTCACATAATCTTAAATAGGCACATTCTCTTAATTGCGTAAGTAGTTTAAAAAAAGTAATTTAATATGTTTTTTATTTGTTCATTACATGGATAACAAAACAGGTAATAATTAAATTACAAAGATTAGAGTTAAACATGATATAGCAAAGTTCTGTACCAGATTGTAATACTACTTATGTTGACACATGATTGTAAAGTAACAAAGATCTACTGTTCATAATTTGCTAATAATTTACTTTACTTATTTACAAAATACAAAAGCGTCAAGGGTATGGGTGAGTACCGATGTAAGTGCTAGGAGAGTTGTTACTCAAAATCAAAAATCAAAATAATCTTTATTCCATAGGTAAGTATTATTACACTTGAAATCGTCACATTGGTTAAACTCTACCGCTCATTCGTAAGGCAGATTCCCCTGAGAAGAATGAGCAAGAAACTCTAGGGGTTGCTCTTTGTAAATACCGTTTGTACACATTCAACATTTACAATATATATTTTTTTGCTTAGAAACATCAGAGATTTTTGACATCCAAGTACGCAGAAGTTGTATAATAACCTTTAATATAAAGTTTTTGTTTCACTATAGTTTTAGACCTCGTGAAAGGCAAATTTTGTATGTTGTTGACTTTGTGAAGACGACTATCAAGAACAGCTAGTTTATTTTTATTCCTCGTATTAATGTTATGTCTATCACTATTTTTCATAAAATAAATTAATATTCCTCTTAACATAAATTACATTTTCATAAATGTACTGTGACGCTAGTGTAAGACTCTCCTTTACTCCTTTAAATATACTGGACCTTGGATCAAAAATATGCGAACCGGAGTTTTTCATAGATATCTTGTTGTAAAGCCGACACATTCTTATCAGGTAGTTTATAAAGGGAAGTGTTATTCTTATACGTTCGCAAGCAAAATATCTGTTAGGTATTCGGGGGCAACGTCTTACACAAAGATCTCTTTTACTTAAGAGGTAAGAAGAATCAATCTCGCTATTAAGAACCTTATGCGCTTATGTGAGATCCAGTCTTTTACGGGAACAAGCAAGGAGGTCACTTTAAATTCGTCAAACCACTCACTACAGCGAACGGGGCTGCGACCATAACCACGTACTTGTAACTAAGTATCCTAAAAGCATACAAATGTATGTAAGCATTTACAGGACATACTTGTGCGTCCTACTGTCGGGCAAGGAGGTGCGTGCTCAGGAAATGTATATAATTTCTACTGTCTTAATAAATCAGAAATGAAATAGAAAGACGCATTCAAAGGGTCATGATAAGCAATGATAAGGGTAATTGTAAACTGATGCAAAGTTATCGAGAATATTCCATTGGGGATAATAAAGTAATCCTAGTAAACTATGAAAACAACAACTAACATCACCGATGTTGATACTGACGAGATTAAAAAAATACCTTTACGGTACTAAACACGACGGAGATTCACTTTCTTGCAAAAATGCTATTTTTTTCCTGTAAAACGAACAATAATATACACACGTAAGAGGATTCTATACAAACTGTTCGAGACACGTTCTCAGATGTGGCTTGAGCGGCATCTTCATATGAAAACGCGATTTGATCCGTCTCTTGTTGGCGGTATGGCACATGGTAAATTAAAGTTTTCAGTTGAAAAATAAATGGAAACCCTATATAATATATTTCAAATTAGTTGACATTGTATTTAAACAATAGGGAAATACAATAAAATACAAGTAAGTATGTCTTACTTCATGCAAACCTTTCATGAAATCCTCCAAAATGTTTTCGTCTCACTCCGGCAAAAGGTATTGCTTAGGTGTTTTCACGATTTTAACACAAGAAAATAGCAGTTATATTTACAAATTCTTAATGCGAAATAATGTACTCGTATCTAGTAGATTTAAAAGCTGTAGATTTGTACTACAGTTTAAGTTTTTTTAACAACACTTCAACGTCGTTTCTGAAGAACCATGCATGACAAATAATTATCATGTTATTGTGCTCGGAAGAGTACGTGGGGCGCACTATAAGTTTTCGGAATGAATACGAAAAAATACTATAAATGGTCAGAAATGAATGAAGTTCTTAATTTTTCGAAATAAATAAAAATCACAAGGTGCCAGGTCGGGACTGTACGCGGGATGGCTCATAAGGTCAACGTTGTTCACCTTCAAAAATTCATTTGTCTGTCTGGCCGTGTGAGAACTGGCATTATCGTGGTGCAAGATGATACGGCGTTTACGGTTATTTTTACGGAGTTTGTCAATAACTTCCGGCAAACAAATGGTTGTGTACCAATCGCTATTCACGGCTATTTAACAACAATTCTCCAAAGCAACAGTGGCCACGTGTCCAGTTTTATTTAAAAAAGAAGCAATCATTCGCTTAGAGGCACTTTGCACGCGCGCCACTTTGGTTGGTTTCGGCTCATCTCGAAAGACCCATAGACTCGATTGCTGCTTTGTTTTGAGATCGTAACTATAAATCCATATTTCGTCACCTGTTACTATGCCCCACACAGAATTTGACGCCCCTTCGTTGAATTTGGTAAGCATGGCATTGCACCAAGTGACGCGATCCGTTTTTTGAGCCTCAGTAAAATTGTGTGGAATCCACCGAAAGCACAGCTCCAGAACCATCACGAAATTCGTCACTGAGATTCATACGACCGCGTTTGAATTCTGCAAACCAGCTGTAAATAGTCGTCTTGCGTGGTGCTTCATCGCCAAAAGCAGTTTGAAGCCGAGCGAAGCTCCGCTGAGCTGTTAAATTACACTTAAAGTCGTAGAAAATCATACTACGAAAATTTTCACGAGTTAAATCCATGGTGATGTCGACAACCAATTACTAAAATGACGCCACAATGTAAAAACAAGTAACAGTCAGATGAAACAAACTGTACAGCCAAAGAGTTCCATTTTCAAATGTTGTAATTACTCTTTAAATATTGTTTATGTAAGTGGCTAGTTCCGGAAACTTATAGTGCGCCCTATGTAATATATGTGCCTCGATATCAGAATTCATCACGCGAACTTCCTTTTTTGGCCTCACCTTTCGTTATTCCGTGCAGCACAATTACACTTCTTGGATTCTCATTAAGTCGTGTACTTTCCGTTCACTCGTCCTAGTGACTCCAAATTTTAACTAACGGACTCAAAGTTAATTAAGCAGACAGAGTGTCAAGTCAAGCTAAGTAAAGTCTCGAAAGGGGCATGCCTATTTGTCTTTCGTGTTCTCTCTCTGCACTAACTATTAAAGTTATCATCAGAGTTTCTTAACCTTTCCAGTTTAACACGGTGTACATAATTATATCTGTACTTATCCAACGAAAATGTATAGTAGTATCGAGCACTTTCTTTGGTTCACTGTACGTGTTAGGGGTCTCGATGTTTAGTAAATACTTACCCAAGTATAAGAAACTGCAGTACAAAATTTCTCTATTGTTTATTTCACATTCGCTACAGCAGAATAAAAAAAAATGTAAAGTCGGAAGCTTTGATTCGTTACCGTAGAGCTTTGCGCAATATAGGAACGAGTCTAAATACTGCACAAAGCTAGACGCGAGTGGTTCAATTTGCCACGTGAAAACTTGTCTTGCAAGCACATAAGCCGACCTCGGAGATATTCGCCATTTATCTCCATACGGGAAAATGCAGTAAGAGTTTTAAGTCTCTGCCATAATCCATTTCATGTGAAGTATTTCAGCCCGCCCGATGTTAGGTTATGGTCAATAAAGGAACGTCTGGCGGCGTTCCCCGCTGAGAAAGACGTTCACGAAAATCCACCTAGAATCGTTTGCTTGTACTTACCGCGTGTACAGTAGGTAGCATCATTTCGCACCCTCAATAATAAAGTGACGACATTCGAAAAGTACCATTTTAAGGAATAATTTCAAAGAATTCTCGTTCAAAGACGAAAATATTATCCTTACAAATCTTAGAATCACGATAACAGCGTCTCGGCGTCCTGTTCGTTTAGAAATTGCGTTTGCTCAGTCAGATTTCCCACGCTATTGTGTGGTAAACCTCATTTATGCAAATTTCAAGATAGCTTACTCTCTCGAATGTTTGACACTTATTTCCTCGGCGGCGATGACGCTGTGTCGAACGGCTGAGTCGAACGTCGCGCTACACTCGCAACTCACTGCGGAGAAAACACAAGCCCCAAGAGCCGATATTTAATAATGCGCGAGCTTGCCGGTACGCCGCCGACCCGAGGGGGAACTGCGTCAACTAAGAGGTCATTTCACGCACAATTAAAAAGCCCAGTGAGGCGGGTTAATGGGCTGCTTTTATCTGCAGCTACAGACGAGCACCAGATCCTGATTAGATACTGTTTAGGATGCAGGTGACAATGATATCGCTTCCCCGGCTCCGGGCTCGGAGCGCTATTTATAGGAGCCCCTCGTTCATCTCCCTAACTTCTGATCAAGTACTGTTCTTTAAGCCTCAAAAATCTGAAATTTTTTCGGATGTAAATCGCGTATATTTGTTTTTTCAAACAAAACCTCGGTGTAACAATCGCGAAAACCTAAGAACTCAATAAGTTCAAGAGAAGACAAAAGTCTGTCCTAAAATGACACAGCAATCAATGAAGAATATTTTAATATAGCTTCTTGTAAATACAATGTATGTAATCTCGCTAGCTGGGTAGGAACTACCGGTCTACGGTTTTTATTAATTATTAAACAACTATTCAAATGAGTAATTACTTTGCCCACAGGCTGAAGGAGAGTGAGCGATGATATGCTGATGAGCAACGACGAGATACGACACGACAACTTACGACACGACGACACGACACGCCAGGGATCGGCCTGGGCGTCCGTATTAACTGCTATATGAGGTGAGCGAGCCGAGTAAGAAAATACCTCAAAGTCATTGAAAGATCTAGCAATTTACTTATATAGGACTTGGGTTTTGTAATAAGTTTGAATATCTGAGAAGAATCACAAAGGCGACGACGATCGACATTGTCCGCTCAATGAGTTCCGTCCATCTTTAAAATGAGAGCGCAGTCACTTCTCGTTCCTCAAGATATAACATAAATCAAAAACTTTGCTTTCAAATTATCGCCCGTTAAATTCGCACGGATCCTGGGTATTCCTATATTTCTCGAAGGATGGCATTGTACGTCCGCCGTTCAAATAAAACATGTCTTGTCAGTTTCACTTTTCCTTCCATGTTTTATACTGTCAATGTTATTTTTCTCCTTAAATTGGATTTTAGGCTAACAGACACTTTTTGCATGAGGATTATTTCGCATTCTAATATTCTATGGGGACAATGGCGTGTACTTTTATACATAACAAAATCCTATTTACTAAGCGTTCTTTTAGTATATAGATCTACGTACTCGTGTCTATCTAAATTTTCGTTCCAGTTCATTCTCCTTTAGTTGTAGAGCAAATTCATCATGTTCTGAAGGATACCGCACAGAGGCGTGTCGAGCGTCGAGCCTACGTGATTTAATCAGATCCGTTGTGCCCCGCGACCAGACAGAGCCTACCACCGGAAATAACGAGTTCTACGTCTCTATAATGTGGATAGAGCTGATGCGGCTTTCCCTTTAATAATCGCCTTTGAGCATGTTTTCTTTGAGCTGTTTCTTGCAGTGTAACAGGGTATTATCAGCGGGTGAGGCAAATTCGTCATGTTGTGGGGCGGATACAGCGCGGGCGCGTGTTTGTCGACCGCTACGTGATTTAATCAGCAATGTCACTCTGAGACGAGGAAACGAGAACATCCCGTCCGAAATTGAGCGCTAATGCAACGGCTTTACAATTGTCTCCGGTGCTTAGATTATTCCATCTTATTTGGAGGTACCACACACTAACCAATTAGATACTTGCGCTTGTAGGCGTAGGTTGACTTGTGCAGTAAAACTAGTAATTATGTAAGTACTCGGGATACTTATGTAAGTTTATAATCCAGCCAGATGCATTACCAGACTTTAAGGTATTACCTACTTTAAGTAATTGCCTACTTGCAAGCAGTACGTGCGAGATTATTAAGACGAACATGTGCAACTTGTATTGCATTGACACCTATGAGAAGTAACTGTGTCTCTGCACCCAGTTCTCCATTTAGCATTACGAATAAAAAGTATGCATCAAGTACGATATGGAATATTTTGAAACACGCCTGTACCATGCAATATTTTTGCATCAAAAATGAACAATTTCACTTGTGACATTGTTTGGGAACCAAAAGAGAGAAATCAGACTATTATTACCTCGTACCATTCTCTATTATCCAGATTGAACTCGTAATATTTTGAACCCTCGGCGTAAAGATGGGAAGGGGTGATATGTTGTGTATGTGTAGATCTGTATGTACCACTGAATGTATTTGTCTGTTCTGCGGAATATTACTGTATAGCTTGCCTTGCTTAAAACATATTTATTATTCAATTCAATATTCTTTATTTGCATTCTACATAAGAATAATCTCAGTACAGAGTACTAAAAAAACCGACCTCAAAGTACGTGGAATTACGTCTATTTGCTAAGTTTTATTGAAATATCCCCTAGTTCGCCACTATACAGGACTTGACACTGGAGATAATAAAAATTGGTTCTCACTACTCAAAGTTTATTGAGAGAAAAACGCCTTGAATTGGAGAAATAGCAAAATCAACCATTAAAATAATTGCTCCTAAATTAAAGTTAGGCGCTATTTATAAAAATGAATCTTGATGCGTGAACAGTCACCCTTAAAGGTGGATGATTTTCTTCAAAATGCAATGGGACCACTATGGAAGTACCCCCTTTCCAACAAAAAAAGAATCATGAAAATCGGTTCACAAATACCGGAGTTATCGCGTAACATACATACATACAAAAAAAGAACATACAGTAGAATAGAGAATTGAGAACCTCCTCCTTTTTTGAAGTCGGTTAAAAATACAAATTTACAGCAGGTACACAAAAATTTTGCGAACAATTAATAAACTTGAGTTTGGGTTAACAGAAAAATTTTGACACTTTCCCAGCTGTGAGCATTGTGCGTTGATAATCTAAACTTCAATTAGACGAACACTAGACAGCATAAACGAGGAATTACGAAAATCAGAATGTCGCCTTGACAACAACAATAATAAACGGCAAATACAAATGCTATGAACAAGTCGAGCAAACGAACAAGTTGAGCATTGCGTATCGTTCACGAGGACCGACCGTTGCTACGGGCTGCCTCAAATTGCTGCAGCAGGCGCAACGCGACGCTGTGATGCAAATTTGAGGCGACCCTGAATAACGAGAATCGATCAGTAGCCCCACAATGCGTTATGTTCTTGGCAATTTTACTAGAATACAACAGACTTCAATTTATATAACCCCACCGGCGGGACCTTTGTTTTTCCGCACGCTGCCGCCGGTTTGTAGTACTGAGGTGGAAATGGGATGTTCCACTACATGAAATTAAATAAAAAATAAAATTAACAAATATTCGATATTCGTAGCGCTTACATCCCCCGACGTGACGCCTGTATTCAGAGCTGCTGAGTCAGCACTCAGAAATGTCCCAGCCGAAGCTTTTCCCGATGTTGCTTTACGCTCCATTATTTAGGGGCGCAGTGACAGTCGTACAAAGGATCGTGACATGAGCATGAAGTTACTCGTATTAGTACGAATAATAATATAAGGAAGTATATGGAACGGAGATGGGTTATGTGGAGTTACCGTTGTTGCAATCTAAGGATGCGACAGCGTAAATAAACAAATCACAAAATTTTCCAATTCTCTCGCACACTTACTTCCTTCTTCGCCACGCTACCGAACGTACACATTCCTGTGTGGTCCCCCTGATTGAATATTTTAGTTAGGTACGAGTCGTAAGGTGTTTAGCGGTATGAAGTGGTGACTGACTGACTGAATGGTGACATTCGAACCTGCTAAAACGTTTCAATTATACGACATGCTTATCAGCATTGCATTGACGATTAGTTGTTTCCACAATGTTCATGCGGGAGAAACGTTGTGACGACTGAACATTTACTGGAGTATGCTCACGACATCCAAATTGTTGTGGCTATAATGTTGCCGAACGGACAAATGTGCCCATCCAGAAAGCCGATTCAACTGTATGATGTTTTAGCAAAGCTGCCGTCAACTCTCGGGGTCTCGATAAGTCGCGATAAGGCATCGTCAAACCCTCTTTCGATGATGTGTCAGAATGGTGGATGGATAGCGCCATTTCAACGATAGTTTACTTCGATTTCCTGCCAAGCTATTCTCAACAAGAAAAAGTATTAATTATATATTATTATTATATTATTATATATATTTAATATTAACCACAGACAGGTGATAAACAAATGTCTATTCTTACTTCTAATAAAATGAATAATTAATGCAAACCTTTGCAGTCTTAACAGCTGTCGATGACAAATAAAAATATATGACAAATACTAAGCAAAATTCAGCTTACAGCTTTCAGCTTAGCAGCAGCATGTTTATCCTTTCCTATGAGTAGGAAACCTAAAGAATAAGTATCATGTCTAACTAGACTAAAAAAGCAATTATTACTATAAGACAATGAACTGACGCGATGATCACCACTACTCAGCCATCGAACTCTCACCATGCTATATTGAAGGTGGTACAAATAGAGACTTGACTTCAGCTCTGCTCTATAAAGGATTGACGGTAAACCTGACGCGTCCTCTACCTTCCGCGCACGACATTACTTCACTAGATAGCTCATCAAAATGTGTATCGCTTGGTTTATCTGGCTGATCAGGCACTTCGATTTATGACATTTTAAATGTGCTGACTGTACTTAAATTGTAATTGCAATTCAAATTTTTTCGTAATAATGTCGTAAAATTGTTTTGACTACTTCACCACAATATGCACGACAGTCTTATCAATTAACTAGATTGGTTTACCGCTTGTATGGGATAATATCGACCTTGTGATGCGGCATGTTATGCAGCGACCAGAACAAAGAGAAACTTATAAAGAGGACCTATGATTTCGATTATGAATTTAAATTACTTTTTACACGGACCAATTTTGAATATTTTTTTCTTCCGAAGCGATAGCGTTTTGTTTATGTTCAATCACGAATTAAAAGAGATGCAAAGGTGTTCATTTACAGGTAAGTATACAGTTTTGTTTTTTTAAGCAGAGAACATCGCAACGATCCATTTAAAATAAACTTTACTTAGAAAGTAATAGTTACGATTTTATCGCGCTTTTTTGGAAAGTTTCTACTTTTTTTATAACATCAACTTACGGGACGAACTAGTCGTGTGCCTGATGGAAGTTGCACGCTAGTCCTTAACAGATGCAACGCTACGCAGAGCTTTAAATCACAAAAATCTGAGGGGCACTGCCACTGCGCCCGACACCCTGAGACATAAGTTGACAAGTCCTATGTGCCTGTAATTTCACCAGCACCCTTAGCCTTTAAAACCGGAACACTGTAATGCTTACTGCTTAGCGGCAGAAATAGGTGAGGTGGCAGTACTTCCCTGGACGAACTCTTTCACAAGGAACTCTACTGCTAAAGTGTAGACATGATTTTACATTTTGACTTGAGTCTCGACTTCCTCATCTTCAGCCATTTTCTAATCAAGATTGCCTTGACAGACATTTCTCGACGCCGGTTTACTTTGTTCGTTTAGCCGGCCGATTTACTGAAAAACTGTGAGTTCTGTTTAGATGATTATGTCACTTGTCCGACGACGTGACCGACTTAGTCAGAATGTTTATTAAGAGCCTCGAACCTCTCTGCCTTTTCTTTTTGAAAACCTATCGTTGTTCGATATTTAAATGAATTAAAACCAACACCCACTAGTTGCGTTACCTGGCTTATTAACACCCAATACACACCTTTAAG